AAATGGGTTCGTCTAATATAATTATATTTTACATAGTCCTGCATAACTACCATTTTGAGAGCTCTTTATTCCTTATCCAGGACCATACAGCAACTTCTCTTGCCTTCTGGATATGGTCTTTGTTATTTTCTATATGATACATCTGAAGGTATTAGAATATATCTTGTTTGTATAACTAGAAAATATTTAACTTTTAGTTGTCAAAGGTATGTGTGCTAAGTATAAAATTCAATGAGGACAGATCTTTTTTTTTTTTTCAGACCTTTGAGTAAATAAGTATAGTTTCTTAGCCATTTGCTCATCTTTTTTCTAATGTGGAATAAGATGCTATTTAATTTTTTCTTCCATAGCTAATATGTTTTCTATGTATATGCTTAATGATTTCTATGTATATGCTTAATGACTTTTTCTTTACAATTAATTTTGGATGATTTCATTTTTGTGAATCTTGGTATGATTTTATTCATATTACTTTTTTTTGTATTTTAGGGAAAGGTCTACAGGGTGTTAAGGGTCTCATTACTAGATCAGACTCATAGTGATTCTCCAATTTACAGCCTCTCAAGTGCTAGGATTACAGGTGCATGCCACCACGCCCAGTCGCAATTGCCATCTCAGCGTGCCCTGGGGTAGGGCCCGCATGGCAAGCCCGGGGATCGAACCCTTGCCCCAGTGCCTGCTTTCAGGAACTTTAATCCACTGAGCTTTTTGGCCGGCCTGATTTTAGTCATATTTCTTGTGCAAAAGGTTCATTTTTCTTGGAAATACAGTGCTATAATTTTAACTAATTTCAGAAATTGTAAATCTTTAAATACTTATTGCATACCCTATTCTACTTTGAGAATTCTAATTATATGAATATAAGCTTCTTGATTTTGGCAGAGAGTGAACTATTATATGACTGATCTGTAACCTCTTTGTTCTTCATGTTTATTTTAGACAATTTTTATTGGTATATTCATTTAAGTTTCTAAACAACTTTTTACTATGTGCAGTCTATTATTCTCATGTGTTCATTTCAGAAATAGTTTTCTAAAACTCACTCAGTCTACATCTTGTATCATTCACATTTCACTATTTGTCTACAATTTTAAATGTGCTATACAATTATTACTGAATTTCAATAAAGTTAATGACTTAAAAAATAAAGTAAATGTTTGTTTAAAAAGAGGTAAGAAGAGATCAGAAAAAAATGTCATAAGATTGTCCTGCTACAGTGTTGTATGTGGTTTGATTTCTAAATTTCTGTGCAAGAATCTAATTGTTTTTCTTTCACATTCTATAGGGATTATAATTTTAGAATATCCATGGTTGTTGGATAATAGCAGTTCCATGTTATGTGCAAGGCATTTGATATTCAGACAGTGATGTTAGGCTCAAATGCCTCTGTTATAGGGTAATAATATCATTAAGCTTCTCTTCTAGATGTTTAACAAGTAAAGTTTACAGATCAATGATTATAGAAATAGAGGGGCTACAAGGATAGCCAATATTTTGGCCCTAGCCCTTCAGGACCAGTGAGGACTCAGGACATAAGAGAACCTGTGCTATGACATCCTATAACTCAATGGTGTCCCAAATTTTATGATCAGGGAGATTATGGGGCCACAGAGGAAAGTGACTAATGATGTATAGTGTGCCTAAGGGGAGTCATTTAGAGAGGAAAAATTCTCTCAGGCTTTCACAGAGAGCAAATTGGTCAAGCCATGGCCATGACTCACCCATATGGCTGACACTGACAAAAGTTCTATAAGATGCTGTACATAGTTTCAGGATAATTCCTGAGGGGATTTGAATGACCTTGTCGGATACTAAAGTTACATTTTTAGTTATGTAGGTCTTGCTTTAGCTTGGTCTTAACCATCCAGCAGGAAAATATAACCATGAGGTATAAAAAGTAATGCCAAGAGTGAGTGAGCTTTAGAGTCAGATCATCTTCCCTCAGCCAGTCAGTCCCCTGACTGCAGGATGATGGAGGTGGTCTGTGAGCCTCATGTGAGGCACTGCTGCTACCACTGCCTGCTGTCAGTATGAAGACAGAATTTGAAGACAGGTGTATAATGAATGTCAGTATGAAGCAGAAACAAGATGAAATCAAAGAAAATGTAAAGAAAAAACCTATACCAAGAAGAGCTCTGAAGACGATTCAGCCTTCTGCAGCTGTATCTCTTGTGGGAAGATAAAATGAGTTGCCTAAAGGCTTATGCAAAGGAAACATTCACATGACCAGTTGACACCTAAGACTTCAAGCTCTGGAGCAGTTATTGACCCAGAATCTAATGAGAAAAGAATCATGGAAGAGTCATCTAAGAAGCATTTAATCTTATGATTAAAGAAAATCCATCTTCTCAATATTGGATAGAAGTGGCAGGAAAACAAAGGAAATCTCTCTATGAAGCTCTTAAGGAAAAGGAGAAACTTCATAAAGAAATTGGACAAAAAGACAGTGAAATTGCCCATCTGAGAAAGGAGAATAAAGAACTGCCAGAAGTAGCAGAACACATACTGTATATGGCAGAGGCAATCAGGAGACTGTCTAGTGAAACTCTGAATAGCTCTGAATCATCAGACAGCCAGGAATTTGATTTTGGAGAGAAAATTGCTGAGGTTTCTGAAGTGCAAGACCCAGAGAGTGGCACATGTGAAGAAACTATATCTTCTGCAGATGCAAAGCCAAGTACATGAAGTTCATGAATATTTGACTCTTGAGGAATACACTACCAATGCTAACCTCCATTTTAGTTCTATGGAGCAGTGCAAATAACTACATAACAGAAATGTTAGAATCACATTTCTTTGACTACTGGGACCTGAATATTGCATTATATTATATATTTTTTATCTGTGTTTTATGTGAATAATAGTTTTACTCAGTTATCCGATATGACTTGTGTATATGATATGATAAATAAATTTCAGTTTCCTATTGAAAAAAAAGTAATGCCATATTAATATGCTGAGCTGTAAAAGGCTAAAGTCAACAACTTCTGACAGTTGCCAGTTGTGCTGATAACCCACTACTATTATGGACTATTATACTATCATGTGTAATGTTGCTGAATTCAAGTACCTAAAGTCTTTAGACTGGCTTCAAATATGAAAAGGTCCTTTATTTTATTTTTTTTTATTTTTATATTTTTTGGCAGAACCAGGGATTGAACTCAGGCCCTTATGCTTGCCAGGGAAGCACTTATTCCACTGAGCCATCTCCCCGGCCCCGAAAAGGTCCTTTAAAGACTTCTCCAAATGCAGCTTCTCTAGCTGCAGTGGAACACCCATCTCTGGCAAAACAAAATGAAAAAGGGGGATATGTTGAGAGCCACAAAACTAGAAAATCAATCACATATGTGTAGGTAGGACTTGGGTCAGTACCTAACTCAAACAAGCTATCCTCTGAGATGAACATCCTGTCTGGTTAAGGTTAGCTATCAGTTGCTAGGCAAACTAGTGTCATGCTGCTAACTTCACAAAAGTGTAAATCAAATATCATTTTGTTTTGAAAAAAGGAAAAATATGTATGTATACACAAGAGAGTTAGGATAGATATACAGCTACTTTCTCTTAGTTCACTGAGAATAAAATTTGTACTAATATTTTTTAGACAAGCTATGTATGCATCTTGTGCTCTGAATAGCTACTACAAAGACAATATGCAGTGTAATAATCATTGTGACCATCCTACTAACTTGTTTTGAAACTGTTTCATTGCTATTTTATCTTTTTTCTTATTAAAATGAATTTTAAATATAAAAAGCATATTTTCATAATATAATAATACCTTTAAGTACATATTTTACAGTTTTGGTATTATAAAACAATTTTTAGATGAAACAGTTTTTGAAAAATGATAAATTAGGACTGGTGAGATAGCTCAGTGGTTTAAGTGCCTGTATGGCAATCTCAAGGTCCAGAGTTCAACCCCTGGTAAAGTATGCCATGCTGGAATGCTGTACCAGCACCCCTAAACCAGGTGTAGTGATCCACACTGGTAATCCCAGCACTGGCAAGGCTGAAACAGGAGGATCACTACGAGTGTGAACTGTGTAGTGAGACCCTGTAATCCAATTTTTTAAAAATAATGATAATAAATTATACTATATCAAGGTGGGCCAAGTAGAGAAAAAAATTAACTATTAAAAGGTGGTATGAATGTCCAGCCTGTAACTGTAGAGAAACTTCCATTTTGTAGGTTATCAGAAAGGAAAAGAGAAAAGTACAGTAACAGATACAGTCCAAGCAGGAAATAGTACATAAAATATAGTTGCTTTGAGTGGGTGAAATGGTAGAATTTAAAATGTACAATGAAGACTAAAGTTAACCATAACTTGTCAAGATGACTTTGGTGCAAAATATATTGCAGATAGAATGAGTATATCATGAACTGATGTTCTGATAATTGTGCATGTTAAGGGAGAGAGAAGGGAGATAGAAATACAAAATATCTGAATGGATGTCTGTTGTCTCACTGGATTAATATCTGTTTCTCTGACTAACAATTTTCTCTGTGTTTTCTCTTCCTAGAAACTACTTACTTCTGTTTCTTCTCTTTTCTACTTCCTGTTTTTTAACTTTATTGCTTTTGGTTGGCAATTATACCTAATACTGTTCTTTGATTATTGCTTAGCAATGAAGGAGTTGTAAGGTCAAAGATTTCTGATTTTGAACAGGGCTGAAAACTGCATTCATAGCAATTCAAACCTTTGTTCCAAACAAAGGTTTCTCTTTGGCAAATAATAACTATGAAACCTAATACAAGGATGAATAAATACTTCTAGGAAGTAACAGCAATGGATAAATTCAAGCATTATATAAATAATATATAAATCACATATGTCCTATATATTAGAAATATAGATATGAGGAATCAACATATTTACAACCCCAAAAGTTGAATATTAATTGATACAGGCTGGAGGGAAAAGTTCAAACCCATGCTTGCCTATCTCTTATATAATGCATTTACAAGCTTTTTTAACTGACTGCCTCATAACTCTAGGAGTCTGGAAATTCAAGGGTCAGGATTGCTTAGGTTTCTGCCCTACTCTCAGAATGGTGGACTACATGTTTTTACTGACTCGAATCCTGTTCATCCTCTGCTGCTGCTCTGTAACTGTATACTGCACACAACGTAAGCATTTTTTTAATTCCTTTATTTCTTAAATTAAAGATGTTAAGAATTAATCAGATTAAAATCATAGAGGTAAGAAATTCTGGAATGGTTGCCAAAATATGGAATTAACAGAAGTTCTATTATTAAAAATTCACAAACCTGAAAGTATCTGATTTTTAAAATGTGTATATTTTTGGAAGGAATTTTTTTCTCTTGAAGTTAAAATATTGTTTTTTTTTCAACAATAACATATTGTTTTTCAGACAAACATAAAATATAAGAAAGATCTATGGACTTCTAAACTTTTTACTTGTGTTGATATAGTGATTGTTTTAGGCTGTTTATTTTTAATAATTTGTTCTCAGACTATATAAACACTGTACTTTACTTTTCAGAAAAGTTTCAACCTTCAGTGTGTTCAATGCAAATATGTATTTACTGGATATAAAAACTATGTGAATCCCTATAAAAAAGATAGCTAAAAATTGGTAAAATCACATCTGTCTATGAAGCCCAGCCTAAAGTCTTTGCGAAGCCAAGAAGTACAATTCTTTTTTCTAAACCTTTCCTATTGAAAAACATTAAAATTCTCTAAACAATCCCATTTGACCCAATAATTTTAAAGAAAGATCTTTGTAATGTTAGATATTTAGATGATCAACTGAACTTGTTTTCATATTTGAAAATGTCAGTAAAGTTTTAAAATGTTGTCATTTATAAATTCCATTATAGTTTCTGGAGGTACTCTTTATACATTTTGGAAATATGTTTATTTAGCAAATCAGTGTTTCATATTTCACCTTAAGAAAAACATATGCTAGGCAAAGGGCAAATAACTTGCTTCTTGATTCTACAGCCATGATCTTTTCAAAGACATTTTTACTTCTTGTCTCCACCTTCGATAGCAGATACTCATATATTTGGAAGCGTGGAATTCAAGCAATCTAAAATCTCATTCTATGGAATTTCTCCTTTTTATTTAGGCTCAAAATAATTCAAATTTTCATTTTATAGTTCCAGTGTATATTTAATGGGCCTACTGCTCATTAAAAGCTTTCTTTCTCATTGATTTTAAGACCATAGAAAAAAATTCTCACTTCATACTGGGGAGGGCATAGTACAGTTGTATCAGACAGAATAACTCTTCATGAAAATATCAGAAAAGTCACTAAAGTTTGAGTCACTAAAGTTGAGCAACTAAAGTGCCTGCTACTCCCAATGTCTTCTCCCAGTGGCTACATCAGTGCTGCATGGAAGTAAAGTACACTATTAATAAGTTTCTCAGGATAAGCGTAAACCAGAGCTGTCATTGCAAGCCATTATGCATGATGGCCCTATCCTTTGGTACATTACTTTGTCTTTTGTTAGCCAGAACATGAATTCAAGTTTAATCCAAAAGAACTTTACTTCAAACATTAGTTGCTCTTTTGGTCATAATGCTTTTTATTTTTAAATGCCATGCTACAAAATTCATCAAGTGCAAATAATGGAAAGAAAACATGTTCATATATTCACTTGATTTGTGAAACCTATTGCTTGATAATAGGACATTTAAACACAGAAAAATCACTACAAATTTATTTTTTTATTTTTGGCAGAACTGAGGATTGAACTCAGGCCGTTGCACTTGCCAAGCAAATACTTATGCTACTGAGCTATCTCACTGGCCCCTAACAAATTTATTTTTATTTTCCACTTTTAAGATTATATAAACAGAAACAGATTTTCTGGCATACAAGATTGTTGACATGTGTGGTATGCAAGGTTGAAACATATATTCTATGCTGTTGAATTTTTGAATTTTTAAATTTACAGCCAACTGTACATCTGTGACTGACTTTCATGACTGTCCAGGAAATGTAACAAATTTCTGTCCAGAGAATATTGTTTGTGCATGCAAAGATGGAAAGCCTTTTTGCAAGTAAGTGGTCATATATCATTTAAAATATAGCAAGCAGAGCTGGGGAGATGGCTCGGCTGTCTAAGCCCATGCTTATCAAGTGCAAGAACTGGGTTCAATCCCTGGTTACCTTTCACATTTTATACACATATAATAACACTGATGATGTGGAATTTGTACCTGTACATGACACATCTTGTTTCATTTTCCCATTTCCTTCCCCTTCCTTCAAACCCTCTTCCCCTCCTTGCTAGGGAAGCGCTTATTCTACTGAGGCATCTCCCCGGCCCCTGGCCCCTCCTTGCTTATAAAAGTTCTGTTTCCACTCTTTGTCTTCAATTCTTTCCTTTCCTTGTCTCTTTTTTCCTTTGTTCTTCCCTCTCCTTTCTTCCTCTTTTCATTTGAATATATTTGTACCATTTCTCATGAACTATAATACATTTTGTACCTTATTTACATTTTTGGCTTCTCACAACAGAGGAACCATGCTGTGTTTGGGTTTTTTGTTTGTTTGTGTGTTTGTTTGTTTGGTTTTTTGTTTGGCAGAACTGAGGATTGAACTCAGGCCCTTTCACTTGCCAGGGAAGCACTTATTGCACTGAGCCATGTCCCCGGAGCCTCATGCTGTATTTGAAAGCGTGTATGGAATTTATTTCACATAAAAGTATGGTGCATCTCAAGGTGCATCTATTTACCTCGAAATGTCTTGAGCTTATCTGCTGTATTGCAAAGTAGTACTCCATTTTATAAAATAAGTCACACCTTCTTTATCCATTCATTGGTTGAAGGGCATTTGCACTATAGCCAAAATTTAGCTATTATGCACTATGCCACTATAAATGTGGGTGCACATGTATCACTGTAGTTTGATGCTTTGATTCTTTGAAGATGACACCAGGAAAAGGAACAGTTGTGTTAAATGGAAACTTTGTAGGTTTTTTTTTATCTCAAATCAGATTTTAGGGGTATTTTAGATATACATAATGATCACATTATTCATAGAAAATTTGTACTTGTATAGGATATAATATGATTCTTCTTTCCCATACCCCTACCCTCCTTTCAACCCCTCCTCCCCATTTACAAAAGCTTTGTTTCATCTTTTTCCATTTTTTAATCTTTTCTCCTTTTTTTCTGTATCTTTCTTCCCTCACTGGTGCAACCATTGTGGAAATCAGTGTGGAAATTTCTGGAAAACTATAACTGCGGGTTGCATTTGACCAAGCTACTCTTCTCCTTTGTATCTTCCTAAGAGAATTAAAGGTTTTGTAATGATATATGCACACCCATGTTTATAATGGCACAGGTTGTAATAGCTGTATCTTGAAAATAGCCCAAATGCTCATTAACTGGTGAATACATAAAGAAGATGTGATTTTTTTTAATGCGATGGAGTACTACTCTGCCATAAAAGGACAAATTCAAGATATTTCTTGGTAAATGGATGCATGTTGAAATCATACTCTTATGTAAAATAAATTTGAAACACGTGTAAATACCACATTAATTCTCAGTTGTGCAAAACTAAAAGTGTAAATAAGGACCAAAATATCTAATATGTATTGTGAAATAGGAAAAAGATAATAAACATTTTATTGTTCAAACACAGAAAAAAATTCAAATGCATATCATTTTGTATAATACTAATACTGCTGTCATGTTACATATGATTAAATTTGTCTGTCAGTCAATATATATTGTAGTAACTCTTTGAGCTCATGTTTGGTTTTCAAGTTTGTTTTATAAAAGGTGATTGAGTCACTAATTTTTTTCTTTTAAAAGTCAGGCAGACTTTCTGTTTTATCTTACCATAAATATGAGAGTGATTGAGTGAAAATGAGCTGAAGGCTCAGAAAAAAAAAAGAATATATGAATGAGAAAGAGTTCATCTGTAAGAGAAAAAATAAGGTGGGTCATATATCACTACCTAAATACACTGAATGATGATACGGTTAGTTCCACAAGTGCCCCATTTTCTCTGTCGTATCTGAATGTTCGCATGTGCTATAATTTCTCTTTCTTACTCTTCCTTCTTTTCTCCTCCCTCAACAGCTCTTCTTATCTTGAAAAGTTTTTTATAGTTTTACAAGTTTTCATTGTGTAAGTATATTGGTGCAACACATAATAGTTATCCCAGGACTTTAACAAATTTTTACCGGATCTTCAAACTTAAGCTCCTCCATACTGCTAACATACTGCTTAAACTACTGACTATATACTACAGTTTCTTGGAATGTAGGTTTTATGTTCCCTCTTTTAGCGTAACACAAAAGCAATAATTAATATTATTGATCTCTAGTACCTAGCACTTTGTCTAGCATATAGAATGTATTCTGTATGGGTTTATTGAATGAATTAATCCATCATCTAATGAGAGTAGTCACTAGCCTGTGTAGAATGCTGGATAGATATTTAAAAAGAAAAGTGATTACTTTAAAAGCTATGGAAGGGGCCGGGGAGATGGCTCAGTGGAATAAGCGCTTCACTGGCAAGCATAAGGGCCTGAGTTCAATCCCCAGTTCCACCATAAAAAATTAAAAAATAAATAAATAAATAAATAAAAGCTATGGAAGTCGGGATGGTGAAGAATGTCTGCAGGCCAAACTGATCCAGAAGCTCCAGTGCAAGGGTCACTTACACCAAGAATTAGAGATCAGCCTTGTTAATATAGTGAGACTCCATCTAAGAGAAGGTCCTGATTTAGCCTTTGAAGGTTGCTGGTAACAACCTTTTAGCTACTGTTCTAAGATTGAGATGAAAACAAAAATCAGATTGTAAAATTGCATTCAAGGAATGAGAAATAAATGCAATACATCAATGAATAAATTATATGTCATCTGAAAATTTTAATGCTATTTTGTAAACTCATAGAGGAATTCTGCATGCATCTGATCAACACTGGCTAATGGGGATCAACACTTTGGCTAACGGGGATGAATACTTTGGATAACTATTACCTATCTTTTAAAATTTTTCCTGAGGTCAGTAAAACACCATTTTACTTGATTCTGTGTCATTCACAATGTAAGGTGTACAATGCCCAATTGATGGCTCATGAATTGCTACCAGTCACATCATCCATAACTGCCCATTGATCATTCTGACTTTCTCTCATCTCAAGCTAGATAGTATCAGAGTCAGGCTGTGTGTCAAGACACTTTGGTTCTCCCCCAATGGGTTCATCTGTATACCAAGCATTCTGAGATCCTATTTGTGAGATCTCATCTTTGTGAGATCATAGGTATTATAAGACATAATGATATCTACAGCTTTGGAGTCAATTAACTGTCAGTGAAGACATAACATTGTTGTAAATACATGTCACTTATTTTGATTTGAAGTTCCATACTAAAATGTATTGAGGTAGCCCGGGGAGATAGCTCAGTAGAATAAGTGCTTGCCTGGCAAGTGCAGGGTCCTGAGTTCAATCCCCGGTACCACACAAAAAAATATTGAGGCCAATGAAATAGACTATCTACTTATACTTTATAAGCAGGCCAATTTTCAATATGACCAATAAAGTCTTGATCAGTCTTTATTAGTCATGAGGCATTGTGCATTGCTAGACACCCCTTTGCTAAAAATGTATATCTAATTTCAGTTCCAAGGCTATGAACAAATGCCCTAGAGGTAACTCTCATCATTGTTGCAAAAGAGACTAATTCATACCATCTGCTATACAGTGATATCTAACTGCCTTGGCATGAAGCAACTATGCCCATGCTGTTGTAATGTTTGCTGAGTATAGGCATTGAGCTAGATGAAGATCTAAAGCTCACCAATAACCTGGAAGTCATACAAACTCTTGCACATCTTCTATAATTCATGGAGTGAAAATGGCTTGTGCTTTCTCTCACATAGTACCTGGAGTCAAAGTAGCTTACCTGAAAAGACTTCTACACCTAGAGAATGCAAAGATGATCTAGAGCCTTAAGTCTTGGGGGTTCACAGCCTATTTCATGCATGTATAGATGAGCACACAGTCACTGTACTGCTTTCTGTGTCAGACTACAATCTTTACCAATTAACATGATAGCATGAATGTAGTACTACCAGATAATATTTATAGGAAATGTCCATTGTCATTTTTGCCAAGTGAAGGCAAACCAGTATTGGAGTCTAGTTTCAAAGGAATGATGAAAAGAATGTTAGCAAAATCCTAAACACCATGCATACAGCCAAGGGAGTGTGCCCCTTTTCCCCCAAAAAAACCTGGCTAATGTTAGGCACATAATATTAGCACAAATAGTAAATATCACTGTATTTAACTTCCTATAGTTCACAGTCATTCTTCTGCTTTTATCCAGTTTTTTTACTGTTAAGATACAGGTAATTTAAGGCACATTGGGAGTGTCATAAAGTCTCAACCCATGCTAGTACTTTCATGGTCTCTCCAATCTCAGCATATTTACTGGAAGCTTATGCTACCTGCTATTGCCACCCTCTTAGGAACAGGAAGGTGATCAAGGTCCCATTTTCTTCCTCCCTTGATCTTTCATCTGCTATATGAAATTTGAGTCTAAATTCTCCCACACGGGTCTGTAATGTTTTCCACCAGAGTATACTCATCCCTAGAATTGTCTAATGGATTAGAGAGATCAGCACTAAATATGGAGCAACAATCTTATTTTTGTTCTTGGAGGACAAGTAGATAGTAAGTTCCATTAACTTCTATTCCCCCCCTGACTCATTCACTCTGGAATGACCTTGTCCCCCACTTCTCATCATAGGGAGGAGGGTGAATCCAATACTAACAACCAGCAATGCTAGAGCATGAGAGTTCTTCCTCTTCTTCAGTGGGGGAGGTGAGGAACATTAGAACTGTTTTGTGACTTAAGTTACTCTCATAAGACTACCAAGATGGCATTAGGTTGCATATGTATCTTTTCTCAATGGTGAGCAAATCATATCACAACAGCTTTCCTGTTATCTTAGTTGTACCCTCAACTCTTTTTTTCTCCCACTTTTTTTGGTTTCTTTTCCTATCTGGTTATAACAAGTCACATCCTGTCCTAGCCATA